ACAAGTATTACCATTACTACTAGAGGCCCAGTGCATGAAATTCGTGCACTGGAGGAGGGTGTCCCTCAGCCCAGCCTGCACCCTTTCCAATCTGGGACCCCTTGGAGGATGTCCGACTGCCGGTTGTGGGATCGGGCCTAAACCAGCAGTCAGACATCCCTCTCACAATCCAGGACTGCTGGCTCCCAACTGCTCACCTGCCTGCCTGCCTGCCTGATTTCCCCTAACCACTTCTGCCTGCCAGCCTGATCACCCCCTAACCACTCCCTGCCAGCCTGATTGATGCCTAACTGCTCCCCTGCTGGCCCGATTGCCCCCAACTGCCCTCCTCTGCTAACCTGGTCACCCATAACTGCCCTCCCCTGCTGGTCTGGTCACCCCCAACTGACCTCCCCTGCAGGCCTGGTCACCCCTAACTGACCTCCCATCCAGGCCTGGTCCCCCCCAACTGCCCTCCCCTGCCAGCCTGGACGCCCCCAACTGCCCTCCCCTGTCAGCCATCTTTGACCACATGGGGCAGTCATCTTGTGCAAGGGTGTGACAGTCAATTTGCGTATTACTTATTTATTATATAGGATATTCCTCAAAAATGTAAAAATACACATGCCCCCTGTATTACTTTCTTATTGCTGTTGTAACAGATTACCACAAATTTATTGGTTTAAAACACACATTATCTTATAGCCCTGGAGTGTGTGTGTGTGTGTTGGGGGGTTTGGTTCAAGCATTTGGTTCAATCCAAGAGGAAACTCTATTCCAAGTGTGAGCTGAGATCACCTGGGGGACATTTTATAGATGACATAAGTCTTGAAAGACCAGGGACAGTATCTCAATAGACCCAGGGGGTTCAGAGGAGAATCCATTAAGGAGACACAGTAGGACACAGGAAAAACCTGCCATATCTGCAGGGAAGGAATCACTAAAGGGAAAAGGTTATCTGAAAGTTAAGGCTTGATGACAGGGATACTCAGGCCTTTATGTCATTGATGGGGAAGAAAGGGGTTTGGCTGGCACCAGTGGAGTTTCTTACTCTATCCAAACAGCAGGATGAGGTAATATAGACCTTCTTCTTGCACTAGGTACAAAATACTTTTCTTACTGGAAACTTAGCACATAATGCTAATATCCAAGATGCTGTGCAAAATAGAGCCAAGAAAAAATCCTCAGAAGACATGTATGGGAAAGTATCATGGGAAGGGTTTCTCTCCTGTCAACCCAAGGACTACCAGTCCCAGCACTATCACTGCTGCAGCTCAGCAGGCCAACAAAGTCTCAAGCCCAGAAGGCAGACAAGGAGCAGTCACCCAGCTCCCCACAGCCAGCACAGGCTCTGGGAAAAAGGAGCAATAAAGTAATTAATCATGGAGACCAGGTCTCCAACCATCTACGACCAACTTCTGTGATGGCACTTCATCAAAAGACCAAAAGATGAAACATCCCAGGAGTCTAAGAATAGTTTTCATAATTGTACAAACATCTCTAAAAGGAAGTATCAATAATCCGAATCAAGTTAACTAGCCTCTTTTCCACGTATCCAGTAAAAATAAACCAAGCAAAAACATTTTAATTTGGTAATGAGTAACTGGCTTGGATTACAAAGTTAACTAATGACATCAATGACTTAGCTGTGCGTGGGTTCATGAAGGACTATCTTAATCAGTTCAAAGTAATAACTTCTTTCTTGAGCAGAAAAGAGCAAAACATAATTTTTGACCTTTCCTTAGAATCAAAACTCAGGCTATGAACATGCAGATTTCCAAAAGATGATATTTAGGATGGTATAAAAATTTTAATCTCTATATATTTTTCTTCCTACCTTTCTGAATGTAAGATGAAAACTGCTCCTACAAATACTAAAAAATTGTCATAAAATCATTTAAATAAAAATATTAAGAGTTAAGTGAAATTACTATTAAGATTCTGTCAGTGTCTATATAACAAGCTACAACAAGAAAATTATAACGTATTTTATGTATAATGTAACAAAAATATCATCATATGCAATATAATAGTATTAGGAGTTCAGTATCCATTAAATGACAAATATCCTTAGTTTAAGGCACCTTCCAGTTTACTTTTATTAAAAACAATTTTTAAGGAGCTAAGATTCACGCAGACATAAAATTAAGCATTTTAAAGTACATTCACAATGTTGTCCAATCACCACGTCTATGTAATTTCAAAAGATGTTCATCGCCCCAAAAGAAAACCCCATGCCCATGAGGCAGTTGCTACCCATTCCTCCTTCCCCCTTGCCCGTTAACTACCAATCTGTGTCTGTCTCTATGGATTTACCTACTTTGGATATTTCACATAAATAGACTCACATGTTACCTTTTGTGTCTGCTTCTTTCACTTAGCATGTTTTTTTAGGATCACCCATTTGTAGCATGCACCAGTGCTTCATTCCTCTTTATAAATAACATTCCATGTATGTATATTACATAATTTCTGTATCCATTCATTCATTGGTGAACATCTGAGCTAGTTCCACCTTTTGGCTATTGCAAATAGTGCTGCTATAAACATTTGTGTACAAGTCTTCGTTTGAACATGTTTTTAGTTCTTTTGGGTATTTATGTAGGATCGTGGTCGGCAAACCGCGGCTCGCGAGCCACATGCAGCTCTTTGGCCCTTTAAGTGTGGCCACGAAGTTTCAATCGCACTACACGTGCGTGCCCACACATGGTATTTTGTGGAAGAGACACACTCAAGGGGCCGCAGTTTGCCGACCACTGATCTAGGAGTATTTGATGGGTTATATGCTAATCCTATGTTTAATCCATTGAAGAACCTCAAAATGTTTCCATTAAGGGGCTGCACCATTTTACGTTCTCACCAGCGATGTACAGAGTGCCGATTTCTTCACGTCCTTGTCAACATTTAATACTTTTGGTTTTGATTATGGTCATCCCAGTGGGTGTGAGGTGGTATCTCATGTGGTTTTGATTTACATTTCCCAAATGACTAATGCTGAGCATCATTTCATGTGCTTATTGATCATTTGTACATCTTTTTTGGAGAAAGGTCTATTCAAATTCTTTGCCTATTTTTTTTGAAATTGTATTTTTTGTTGTTGTTGAGTAGTAAAAGTTCTGTATGTATTCTGGATACTAAACTCTTATCAGATATATTACTTGCAAATATTTTCCCATTTCATAGGTTTTTTTCTTTCACTCTTCTAATAGTATCCTTTGATGCACAATTTGATGAAGGCCAATTTTTTCACTTTATTGCCCATACTTTTGGTGTCATTTCTAAGGATTCAAAGTCATGAAGTTTTCCCCATATGCTTTCTTCTAAGAACTTTATGGTTTTAGCTCTTATATTTAGGTCACTGACCCATTTTTTAAAAATACGTATTTTTTTATTTATTTCAGAGAGGAAGGGAGAGGGAGAGAAAGAAACATCAATGATTACTCGGCCAGTATGGCTCAGTGATATATTTCTCTCTCCCCCCCACCTTCTTCTCTAAAATAAATTTTAAATATATATATTTTTTTAAAAAACACATCAATGATGAGAGAGAATCATTGATCAGCTGCCCTCTGCAGGCCCCACACGAGGATTAGGGTATTGAGCCTGCAACCCAGGCATGTGCCCTGACTGGAATCCTCCTGGTTCATAAGCTGACACTCACCTACTGAGCCATGCTAGCCGGGCATCACGGACCCATTCCGAGTTACCCTAACACAATGTGAGGTAAGAGACCAGCTTCACTCTTATGCATGTGGATATTCAGTTGTGCCAACACTATTTCTTGAAGAGACTGTTCTTTCCCCAATGAATAATCTCAGGACCCTTTTTAAAAATTGGGTCATAGAAGTATGGGTTTATTTAAAATGTTTTTATAAATTCATTAACTGCCCATACTATAATTCTATCACTGCTTTTACCAGAGGTTTAGTTTATAATGGCATATTAGAAACTCTTGTTTCAAAACTAGAATTTTTAAATAAGAAATACATATCCATAATGAACATATATAATTTCATTATTAAACATTCTTTTAAAAATAAAAATGAGTAGCATATGCAAACTGAAAATCAAAACCAATCTCTGCAAAATAGTATTTTGTAAAGTAGCATGTGATTTTGTTATTGAAGTCATGTGTAATGAAATCATTAATTTTAACTGCCTACCCTTTATACAGCCTTATGTTTTACAATTAATTACGAAGTTCTAGTGAGCCTCTTAATGTAGGTATTACATTAAATGTCCTTGATATCAGTCTTGCGGAATTACCTGTGTCAAATTACGGTCTAATTCCAAATAAGACATGGATTTTATAACAAAAGAATGCTTTATTGCCTGGCCGGGGTTGCTCAGTGGTTGAGCTTCGAACCATAAACCAAGAGGCCATCAGTTCAATTCCTGGTCAGGGCACATGCCCGGTTGTGGGCTTGATCCCCAATAGGAGGCGTGCAGGAGGCAGCCGATCGTTTCTATCTCTATCCCTCTTCCTCCCTCTCTCTCTAAAAATCAATAAAAATAAAATAATAAAACCTACACCTGGGTGGGTTTTGGCAACACCATCACCAAATCAAGAGAATGAACATTAATACAGTTCCTCATGTTGTGGTGACCCCCAACCATAAAATTGTTTTTGTTGCTACTTCATAACTGTAATTTTGCTACTGTTATGAATCATCATGTAAATATCTGATATGCAGGATGTATTTAGGCGACCCCTGTGAAAGGGTCGTTCGACCTCCAAAGGGGTTGCGACCCACAGGTTGAGAACCTCTGCTCTAAACCCTAAACCTCTAAGGAAAACAAACTCCCCTAACACAATATCCAAGAGTTCTCTTTCTCTTGAACCCCCTGATACCAGCTATAAACACTGGTGCTTAGCTTCATCACAGTTTCTTTCTGATGCAAAGACAATTTTGTTTTTACTGACCAAAAAAAGGAAAAAAAAGTTTAGCCCAGGAAACGAAGGGATAAGAAGTTGGGAAGTGCTGATAACGGTAATCTAGAAAACACGTGAAAAGCTTTACCTTGCGCTGGCCAGTGATGTCGCGGCAGCTGACTGTCTTACCATGCAAGAGACTAGGGTTCAGGGTCAGACCAACGGTTCTGACGTCCTGGGCGGGACGCACAGTTGCAGTGAGACACCAGGGAAGAGATGGCCAGCCCAACCCCTCACACAGCATCCCTTCCTGGTTAATCCATGAGATGATAATGACACTGACTGGCCTCATCCTGCCAATGAAGGGCAAAGCACTGCAATGATGGCGCCTAGAAATGAATAGGAGTGAATGGGAATAAAAGGGGGAGGGGGAAAGGTGGCCAGGATGAAGAAATGAATAAAACTCCAAATTTCTGTTACAACTCACTGTCATACCTATTACTCTAATATCATAATGACAGGGGAATGGAAAAGAAAAAAAAAAGAAAGAGAAAAACCTGCTACCTATTTAACTTATGCAGCATTCTAAGAATTTGGGTTTTTTATCCTACAATCTGACTACATATAAATAGAGCAACAAGAGGGAAATTCAGTTTAGCTCATAAACCTACAGCAAAGAAAATAGTATTTTCATAATCAGCATTTCTAAAATCTGATGATTTAGTTTTATTTCATTTTTATTACAAAAACAACTCAATCCATTCTATTGAAATAGACTGTACTTACCAAACAATTCCTTGGGCTCCCGAACCAATCGGTTTCAACTGCTGGTAACGCTTTAGGACGGTGAAAGTTGAGTCTGCCACTTGCACACTGTAAAACTGACTATCACATTTACTGTCACTCATGGTGTAGTGTCATGTAATATTCCAAAGGCTGTAGTTGTCAGATTCCTTAAAAGAAACACAATGAATATGCATTGTTACTGAAATTACATACACAGTGTTTCAAGTTTATTGGTATACAAGACAATGTGGCTGTATGTTCATAAACTCAGTTTGAACAAGTTCTAAACTTAAGCAACACGTGAAATATGAAATGATATGACACTATTATGAAAGGAAGACAATTTGAGGCCTGCATGACCACAGTTTGCATGGCTGGAGTAGAAAATAACCTCCTTTGGAGAAAAGAAATTGTGCATTTTTTTCTAGCCATGAACAGATTATGTCACTACATGATTCTCATTAGTTTGCTTCCTGTGGGACCAGCTTACAGAAAGCTGTCTCCCCCAGAGAACGCTGTATTTCAGATAATCACGTCCATAATTCCTGCAGAGAAACAAATGGACCAGTCTCCCTTTAAGTCCACAAATGCAGGTTAAAGTGATGAACCAGAAAGCAAGTCCTATGTCAAAGTGAGGGAAAAGCAGGGCGTTAAAGAACAGGCCAGAAGAGGTCTGGTGACGCGGGTGTGCTCCTGCCTGGCGAGCGTGGTCCTGGAGCCAGCCGTGTCCCTGCACCCATCACTGATGGGTAATAAATGACATGGAAGCCATGATGCTCACTCATGAGGTCTGAGTATGAGCCGGCAGCCTGGGAGCAGCCTCCCCAGGCTTTGGGCCGAGGCTGATGCCCATCTGCAGGAGCCACATAACTATACGGAAAACAAGCGCACAGAAAGCCGCCAGGCAGCCACACTTAGTTACGCGGTTCCCTGGCTCTTGTTTGACGATGTTTACTGAACGTCAGCAAGATATTTAAGTTTGTCTTTAAAAAAAAAAAGTCAACTTTTAATCATAGAGGTATAAACATTTTATACTGTTTAATAACACAGAATTTAAATTTAGCCTGCACCACCAGCAAACTCCTGCCTGTTTATTCTATCATCTAATATTTAATGTCTATCCACTGAGTTTTTTGGAGTGATGATTTGTATTTCAACACAATGATGTCTAGGATTTCCATTAAACATGGAAATGTATTGATTACTAACAAACCTAAACAAAAAATTTAAATCAAATGAATAGTTTCTCCAACTGACCATTGCTTCATGTTTTGTACTGTTTCCAGGGCAGGGGCTGAGGCACAGCTGTCAGTACCACCAGCCATTGCGGCTGAGAGCCATGTACCCCTCCAAGGTGTGCCTCGGGAGGCCAGCACTGCAAGACATGAACTATCACACTGCTCATGACGCCACGCAGGACGGTCAGCCCCGTGTTCCATGGTGCTAGAGGGTACACGCTGCTGTGAGGAGGGTGCCCAATGCCAAGGCGAGGACAGGTCTGCCGTGCTCATCCTGGCATCCCACACTCATAGGACGGGAGGAGAGGGAGAGTCTGGCCCCTGGGACAACGGAGTCATTCAATAGACTTTGTTGATCTAACCCTTAATACAACATCTTATGATTTCCTCACAATGCTTCTCCATTTTACTGACATCTGAAAGAATATCCTTTTCTAAAGATTGATTTGTAGACAATTGTACTCACCATTTTTGGGGTGCCTTTGTACAAGAAAGTGACAACAAATCATGTAGGAGATACAGCAGCAACTAGGAACCAGTCTTGAAGCAGCATGTGGTTCACAATTTGGGGAAGAAGTGTGAGGAATGTACCCACTATCTCTACTGTAATACAAGTTACAATGAAGTAAGGGCCATAAGCAAAATGTAAACGAAGTCGAAAGAGATCCTACCCAGGAGCAGGAGTGTAGAAGACAAGGAAAGCTTCCTGGAGGAGGTGGCATCTGACCTGGACTGTTTTGCCAGAGACAAGACAGTAGAGGCACAGAGCTCAAGCTGACTGCTCAAACATGGTGAATTGCTCAGCTGGGTCAGTGGGGTACAAATACAAGTATAAGAGTCAGACTTGGCGAAGAGATGGGTAGCCACTGCAACCTGCTGTTTCTTTGCCATATTGTAATACATTAGCTATGCTGGTCATTCATAAAGCATGTCCTGAGCACCACTCCGGGCAAGGTCCTGTGCCAGAGCAGCTGGTGTGAGAGCATATATGGTGGGCACACTCAGGAAGAGACCCGAGGCCAGGAAAGCCCTAAACCCAGAGAAGGTTTGGGGTGCAGAGAGCCGGAGGTGCCTCTGAGCATGACAAATCATTTGAGATTTAGTTTTGCTGGATAGTGGGGGAAAGACGCTGGAGAGAGAAAACGAGGCCAGATCACCACAGGCCCCTTAGCCCCTGGGAGCCACCTGGGCCTGAGCTTGAGGCTGTGGAGCCATCAAAGCGTGTGAGGCATGTCTCTGGCCTGCTTTTCAGAGCTCATTTGGGAAGCTGAGAAAGGGTGGATTTCAGTGGGCAGGACTGGAGACGAGGAGACCCGGCAGCAATGACTGAATCACGGCAGGTGGGAAAGAGGCACGGTGTGGAGGAAGAATGTACACACTCACAGCCTCAGAGGAGACTGGAGAAATGAGGTGAAGCGTCTGGAGACCCAGGCCGCGTCAGCGAGTTTAGCTTCGAGTCTGAAGTGCCTAAGGGACAAGCAGCATGATAGGCACGGGCTCCTAATGTACCCAGGACCCTCCTCCCTTCCTTGTTTTAGTGACAGAAGCCTTCCTGTTCTGGCTGCCCAACTACAGATGACATCTGCCCACTCCCCTAGTAGCCAGGTGTGGCCAGATGACCAAGAACTTCTGGCTAATGAGATGTAAACAGAAGTAATACATGCTACCTCCAGATCTTTCTTTTTTTTTTTTTTTACGGAAAGCTGCTTGCTGTCTAATCTACCTTTTTCCTTGTTGCTGACTGCGGTATTAGCTGACATAGACCCAGAGATGGAAGTCACATGCTAAAGCTCCCCACCAGCCAGCATCCTGAATGATCCGGTGGCATAGAGACGCCCCCGGGTCTTGTCCCCCTGCTCACAATGAGACTGGCACAAATTAATCTCAACCTTGGTGAGCAAGTTGGGGACTCTCTCTGCTCCAGCAGCTGTAACCTATAGCTCAGCGGTTCTCAACCTGTGGGTCGCGGCCATCGGAAAACACATATAGCATATCAGATATTTACATTACGATTCATAACAGTAGCAAAATTACAGTTATGGAATAGCAACGAAAATAATTTTATGGTTGGGGGTCACCACAACATGAGGAACTGTATTAAAGGGTTGCAGCGCCATAACCGGTTTGGCTCAGTGGATAGAGCATTGGCCTGTGGACTCAAGAGTCCCGGGTTCGATTCCGGTCAAGGGCATGTACCTTGGTTGCGGGCACATCCCCAGTGGGGAGTGTGCAGGAGGCAGCTGATAGATGTTTCTCTCTCATCGATGTTTCTAACTCTATCCCTCTCCCTTCCTCTCTGTAAAAAAATCAATATATTTTTTTTAAAAAGGGAATTAGCGGAAATATTTTTTTTTAAGTAATAAAAAATAAAAGTAAAGGGTCGAGGCATTAGGAAGGTTGAGAACCACTGCATATAGTTTGACTGGTACAATATTAGGTTAGCTTTTGTGAATTTGAGGAATACATTACATCATTAGGTTTAATTATTAACATAATTTCATCTCAAGATTTAAAATAATTTAAATAAGTTGTCCTGATTAGGCAGGAAAAACAGCACCTAAGAGAAAACCTGTCAAAGCTACCTTCTCTGTCAAGCCTGGGCCTCAAGAACAGGAGAAAAAAACCCCAGGCAACCTGAGAAAACATATAATTTAGTTATTAATGAAATCAATTCTACTGTTATTATATATCAACAAAATGGATCTCAGCTGGGTGTCAGGAAAGTTTACAAATTGGGGAGTACAGGCATCCTCATGAAACCACATCACAGCACACTGACGCTGCGGTCGCTGCCTTCGCATTCCTCCTGGTGGGTGCTGGCTCCTCACCTTGCTCCCACAGTGAGACCTGGTGCCCACCAGGCTAGGAGCTCCTGCAAAGCAGGAAGGCCTGTCTCCCCTCTCCTACAGCTCTGCCTGATAAACTTAAGGAAATGTCTAAAGCCCATCAGTGATCCACTGAAAAAGCTCCTTGGACACACTGCTCCTGGGACTCCTCAGACCTGTGTGGTGAGTGGATGCCTAAAGGGAAGGAGTCAGCATGGCCTTTGCTAACCAAAGAGGTTAAATACCTGTAGTATCTATACTAATAAAAGGGCAATATGCTAATTAGACCGGGAGACCTTCCAGACAAAGCCATGGTGGCGGGGTTGAGGCAGAGGCAGTTAGGGGTGATTAGGCCAGGAGGGGAGGGCAGTTGGGGATGATCAGGACAGGGGGGGGGGGCAATTAGACCAGGCCTACAGGTGAGGGCAATTGGGGGATACCAGGCCTGCAGGGGAGGGCAGTTGGGGGCGAGCAGGCCAGCGGGGAGGCAGTAGGGGTGAGCAGGCCAGCAGGGGGGGCAATTGGGGATGAGCAGGCCAGTGGGGGGGCAGTTGGGGGTAATCAGGCCGCAGACAGAGTGGTTACAGGTGATCAGACAGGCAGGCAGGAGGTGAGCGGTTAGGAGCCAGTGGTCCCGGATTGTGAGGGGGATGTCCGACTGCCGGTTTAGGCCCAATCTGGGCCCAAAGGGTCCCAGATTGGAGAGGGTGCAGGCCAGGCTGAGGGACACCCCCCCCACCCACACAAATTTTGTGCACCAGGCCACTAGTTTATTATATTAATGAAAGAAATTAAAGAAGACAAATAAATGAAAAGATAGTCCATTCTCATGTATTGGAAGACTCAGTATTGTTAAGTAATGTCCATACTACCCAAAGCAATCTACAAATTCCATGCAAATGAAATCCCTATAAAAATTCCCATGGCACTTTTCATAGAAATAGAACAAATAATCCTAAAATTTTCATGTAACCACAAAAGGTCCTGAATAGTCAAAGCAGTCTTGAGGAAGAACAGGAAGCTG